AAAACAGTAGACCTTAAAATCAGAAAGAAAGAGAAGCAGCCCACAGGGGTGCCTAAAAGCATTGATGGTGGTTGTGATGCCAAAGGAAAGGATGAGACAATGGAGATCACACTGGGCAAGCCTTAGGCCAACTGCTGGCTTTCCCAGGGATAGATTAAGACCACATCCCTCTCCCACCACAACAGTTCACAAACTTAATACTTCTAGTGCAAAGCCTTCAGTCTTTGTGGATGAAACAGGCTAGCCAAGACTCCAAGACTATGACTCAATGTGTCCTACCAGGCCAATAGTTCCCTATTCACAGCTTGTAAGAGATGGTGAAAAAAAAAAAGACCAAGAAATCAGACAGCAACACTCCTGAGTGAGTCAAATCCTCCTGACAGCGCAGCTCAGCTCAGCGCAGCTCAGCTCAGCGCAGCTCAGCTCAGCTCAGCGCAGCTCAGCTCAGCTCAGCGCAGCTCAGCGCAGCTCAGCGCAGCTCAGCTCAGCTCAGCTCAGCTCAGCTCAGCTCAGCTCAGCTCAGCTCAGCTCAGCTCTCTATCTGCCTTACCCCTGCTCATGCCTGCAAGGAGTCTCTCTTCTTATCAACCACCACTCAGAGGAGCAATTCACAGCAGCTGAACTATGCCAGCTGCTGAGAGGCAGCCCTGATAAGAATTTTAAGGCACACTGTTGAAACACTCACCAGCATAATGGCTTTTTTTGCTCTACCCAATTCACCTATCCAAAAGAGGTTTCCTTTAACCAAGGACAAAATGATTGAGCTAAAATCTCAGAGGCAGAGGAGCCAAAGTGAGTTGACCTGCTGCGTGTGGTCCTTGGGAAGCATTCTGGTTTTCTAGTCCCATATCTTTATGGATTTTCCCTGTAGAGGTTGTCTGCTTTAAAAATGGGTTCTCATGCCTTCTCCAGTTGTAGCAAAAAGACTTGATGTTCCTGATATTTTAGTAGATAAATAATAATGTGTAATGATATGTATATCCAAGAGTTATACCTCCAGCATCTCCTGAATAATGCTCTGTATGTACTACTAAGTTATATATTCTACTGTGGGCTGGTTTACTCCAGAAGTTTTATTTCTCTTATGATGTGTCCTATCCCAGAACAGAAACAAAGGAAAAAGAGACAGATGGGTCTGGCAGAAATAAGATTTCACATAGCATCTGAGAAAGCTGACTATCAGTGCATGACAGAGAAAAACTTGCAGCTAATGCATGTGCAAACATTTAATCTCTTCTGATCTCTGTGGGGTAGAGCTAGGAGTTGCTCCCTTTGGTTTGTAACCTACCCAAAAACCTTTTTATGAGTTAGATCTTCCCAAGGACTTTTTTCCCATTTCAGTGTGGTGTGTTGACACATAAGATGACTTTATGTAGGATTTTTTACTTATTTTTAATTTTCATTAAAAAAGAAAGTGTAAGAGACTTTTGGATTTGGCCATTTTTTTTTCCATTTATTATGTGATGATGCCATCTTGTGGAAGTTGCTAAGAGCAAAGTTGGAAAAACATCTAGATTATACCTATATTTGCAAGTTCTGTCAACTCAGCTGGAGCAGGTTTGCAGGGTGGAAGAGCATGGAGGATCTGCCATCCACGTGGTTTATTTCAGGTGGAATACCCTAGTTTGGTTCTGTGGCTTCCCTTAGGTATCTCGGACTGTACTTTTCTGGAGTAACTATCTTTTATTTCCATTTCAACTGAAAGGAATCCAATTCAGGTGCTCCACAATCATCCACAGTGAAGTAGCTAGGCACATTGACTTTAAAAGCACCTCAATTCCTCTCCTTATTTACTCCTCACCTAAATTCACATGACAAAGTAGTCACACCCTTCAAGCCTTGATAACAAGGTGAGATGTGCAGGCCCTAGGGAGCCCTGGAAAGGATTCTCTTCTGTCTCTTAGTGCAGAGGGTTAGTGCAGTTAGAAGGTTCTGCCACCCTCTTGCCCTGACTGAGAAGGTGCTTCTGGAACCAGGTAAGAAGAGTCCATGTTGAAGCTCTTCTCCAGTTCTCGGCCCATTAGAAAAGTAGAACATTGCCTAGTTTTCTGGACTGATACCAAGGCAGCCTCCAAGAGCTCATTCACAGAAAGCCTGCATCTGCTCCTAAGGATTAAAGCTGGGGAACCATCAATGCTTTGGGGATCGCAAAGCGAAGGAGGAGGATGATATTTCTGGAGCAAGATGCAAGAAAGTGGTGAGAACTGTCTGTACGATTCAGTTATTAAGTTTGAACTTGCCTTGTTTTGACTTGGATCACTGACTTGATTAAGAGTTGCTGTCTTCACCAAATACGTACTGGTTTCATAATGCTAACTGGGCTGGTACTGTTGCTTTCAAATCCCGTCTACTCATTGAAAGAAAGCTTCTTCAAACAAAAAGGCTGTAACAGAGCAGTAGAGTCATAAACTGGCTCAATTATATGCTGTGGTGCACTGAATCTATTTATCACACTGAGACTCAGCAAGCCTAAACCCTGTGATCACCTAGAAAACACTTTCCTATCCCTCCAATAACATTTATCTGTAGCAGGGTGACATAATGGTGTGATTTTGTTGAACTAGCTGTGTGTGTTAATGGGAACTTGAACCTTGAAGCAGATGTTACTTTATTGAATAGCACATAACCTATTTGCTTGTTTGTCTAAACAGAGATCCTTAATAGTATTTTACCTTCTCAAAATTCACTGCTTTCAGCACTTTAAATAACTAGGCTGCAACTTTCCTTCTATGTTGCTTTCTATAATGCACTCCATTTCTGAGCTGTCGCTTAAGTAATTTTCACAGGTGTTTGCTTCTTGCTACTGATGTTTTAAGGTAACCAAATAAACCTTATTTTTTTTTTTCTGCAAGCAGTGCACCATCTGACATGTTAGTTTGTCAGCACAGCAGCCTTTCCATGCTTCTAACCCTAAATAACCCGGTATTGACAGAGCCAGTTTCTAATGAATGACTAAACAGATAGGCAGGGGTAAAAATGTATGTGCAATTGATGTCCCAATCTGAATAACACCCTTCACCTGTCTACTTGCATTCTAAAGCTCCTGATGTTAATTTTTATGTCTATTTCACATGATGTATGGAGTCACTATTTAACTACTTGGTGATCTTTACTTGCAGAGTTTCTGGTGATTGTTTGCAAAGGGTGTTGTGGCATCTTATGAACTAACATTATCTTCATTGATGTAGAGTTGTGGGAGTAGTTATCCCTCAGACTTTGGGAGCAGTGTGTGGTGTTTGCCCATAAACTGCAATGAGGGGAAAAGAAAACAGAGGAAAATATTTGTTCTTGCTTTGAAAATGCAAACTTCTGGTTTAAACAGAGCATGGAAACATAATAGGATGGTTATTTAGGAAGGACTGATACAGGCCACCTACAGCGGCCAAAGAGATGTCTGTGGCAACAAGAATTGACTTTATTCCCTCAGTATCAATGGAGACAACAATACAGACTGCTGTGCTCTTTGATTGGATTAGGGCTGCATCTAGACTGGGTTTAGCAGCAAATTAAAAAGTAACAGGGAGCACTAGAAATCAGTTCCCTGCAATACTATGTTTTAGATCTGGCCCAGGAAACCTGTGTTCTAAACAATGGCTGCTTGTAGGTCAGGGTTGGCATTTCCTGTGACTGCTCTCCATCAGGAGCTTGCATGTGGCCATTCTGTTTTGAAGAGTGCTCATCACTTATGATGAATGAGAGCAAAAGTGGTACAGAAAGCACTTAAGACCTTCCTTCAGGTGCTTTAAAATTCTTCATTGCTCCACTTGTGAAATTAATATTAACAAGCAATTAGGGACACCAGCAGAAGTGAGAATGGTAAAAAAAAAAAAAATAAATGCCTAGATGTGTGGTTTAAACCCAGCCAGTAACTAAGCACCACACAGCCACTCACTGACCACTGTCACTGCCCCCTTTACGTCTCCCTGTCCCTTATGCATAGATATGGATAAGAGGTAATCTATGAGCTGATGTGATTTACTTTCAAGTACTGGTTGCAGGTTCTATCTCTCTGCTCATTTGTCCCTAACAGGAAAAAGAAGAGGTTTAAGGGAATTTTTGAGGAGTTAGTGTAACTTTGTTTGCTAGGAGAAATAAATCAGTTACACTTTATAAAAGTCTAGAGGGTATAACAAGAAGGTGGGAGATCAATTTATCATGTTTGACTAGTATCAAATTTTTGTATGTTGGCTCAAGGAAGGAGCAGAAGATCCTTCCTTTGAATTTTGATGGGGTTATGATAGTGTCCTAAATGATGTCCTCATAAGGAAGCTCACGATAGTAGTTTGCAATGTACAGTGAAGCTGACTTACACTCTTCCCGAAGAGTGAGCTGCAAGAGGATGAAGCAGGATGGAGACACTCAGGTGGGAAGTGGCTATATCCAGATAGACCCTCCAAATACCTGACCCTATCCTGCTGCACTCACCAGGTCTGAGCCCGTGGCTTCCTACTGTTAGGGCTCAAAAAAAAAATGGAGGGTTTTGAGTCCTGAAAGCCCTGCCTAAATCAAGCTGAAAGTCTTGACACCTGGAAAATGAGCTGGGGAGCTTAACCCCAGATGTGGCTGCGACTGCAGACCTCTCAAGACAGCATGTGGGACAGGACCAGAGGAGGTCACGTATAGGTTGTTTGGTTGTGCAACAGGGTGGGACCATGGCTGCAACATGCATTTGGGTTTGAATGTGGTACTATAGCTGAATGTAGTCCCACAGTGTGCCACAGCCCTGCAGTAACTCGTCTCCTCTGGGACGCTGTCAGCTAGGATCAGTATGTTGCAGGATGAAGCCACAGTGGCCCATCTGTGGTTCCTTCACAGACCCCACCTGCTTCTCCCTGCTCTAAAGCCCCCTCAGTGTGTACTCCTGTGATGCCAGAGACCAAAAGGTCTCAGCCTGTGACTTCCATGGCCACCTGGCCTGTATTCCTCCAGGAACAAGTCCTGCTTAGGGTGGTGCTTTGGTTGGTGCTGTGGTTGGTACAAGGCAGAGATTTACAACTTACTGACTGCCAGGACAAAGATGGCAAAGATACCAATCACCTGCCAGAGCCGCAGCCCCCAGATCACCACCGTCTCCGAAGTGACAGGGTCCGGTTTCTTTTTTGGGGGTTCAGTGGTGGCCTGGGAAAGAGGGAGGAAAAAAAGTGGTTTAGGATTTGCAAGAGTCCCTAAAACAGTCAGAAAGATGTGAATAGCACAGAAGGTGGTAGACCCCAGTTTGCTGCCCCACAGCATTTTGGAGACTTCAATAAAGAGTTTGTATCTAAAGCTTTTGCCATTTTAAAATTTATCTTAAGTGTTGTAAATTTTCAGGATTACAAAGCAAATATTTTTGCTGTTCTTTCTTCAAGTTCCAGCTTTTTTCTAAAGAATCCTTTTCCTGGGGTCAGGAGGAAATTTCTTATATTTTGCATTCCCATCTTTAAAAGATAGATTTTTTTTTTTTTTTTTTTTTTTTTTAGGTCGCAGGTTCCTTTTGCACTTTCAGGCATATATATGTATATCATGATCTGGAAAAGAGTAGTAGAGGACTAAATACCTCTATTCCTTAAAAATATCTTCATTTTTATAATTAACTGGAATTTTTCCAGATGTAAATGTACTTTTTTTCTTGAAATTTATACTTGTTCTGAAGAAACCAGTTTTTTAGTGATATTCTTCATTAAATATGTTTTAAAATTAATTAGTAATGAACTAAAATGAAATAAAGAACTGAGAGTTCTGGTATTTTTCTTCATTTATAAGCAGAACCTTTTTTGTTTTAAGAAATCTTGCTTCTATATTTTGAATCACAAATCACAAGTTTGACCAAAGAAACCTGCTCTTAAGTTGCCTTGTAGATGTTGCATCAACCTTGGTTGTCATTCAGGAAAACATGTCTTAATCAGTTATTTGGAGAAACAAGGAGGTCTTTGAACTAAATTCTATGTCTTGTACTGTATCAAAGGTCAGAAAAGATGTGATAATGTCCTGCTTAGTGCATTTCTTCAAAATGAGTGGGGATTAGGCTAAACAGGGGAGTGTCTCTGATGTAACAAGAAAAGCACTCTGATTTCCAGCTCTAGAACTGAAGAGCAAGAGGGCAATGAGAAAACAGGTGAAATTATAATGATAATTAAGAGCCTTGTTTTGTGAAGATGGTGATGTCAGCTTTCCCCATGTGATTTAGTGGTGGTTTGGCTAGTATTTGCAGGAGAAGTTTTCAATAAAGGCCAGGTTGGATGGGGCTTGGAGCAACCTGGTCTAGTGGAAGGTGTCCCTGCCCATGGCAGGGGGTTGGAACTGGATGAGCTTTAAGGTCCCTTCAACCCAAAACATTCTAGGATTTTATGAATTGCAACTTCAGCTCCCCTAACTATTGAGTAGATCTTCAACATCTATGGGAGAACCTAGATCAAATAGCCCTATAGATAACCTGCCTGGCAGAAGAAACTTCTCTGGAGTGACCAGATAGAAATCTGCTGGACTCCATGGTAGGTAAAATTGGGCAAACAAGGTATTTAAGTCTTATTGCTGATCCAGTCCTTAGTTCCTGTGTGTCTGTCCTGGGTTCAGCAGGACAGTGTCTCTCTTCCCCCTATCTGAAATGAGGCTGAGAATGTTTCAAAAGTGTGTTAAACATCACTAGAGAAATAGGTTGTCTAGACCAACTCCTTTGGTCCTGGTGCAGTGATGATATAGGAAGAATACACATACCAGCAGCAGTACTTATTCTCTTGATTTATAGCTTAGAAAATCAGAAGTTAACAACCCCTCCCTGCCAATAAACTTCACATATGATGTGTTGTGGTGCAGCAAATCACAGAATTAAAACCTGCTAGTGATCTTACAGGAGGGTTGTTAGCAAAACACCTTTACTGCTGAACCCAGGACACCTTATATCTGAACATAGGACCTGATCTGAATTGGCAATTGCCTTTTGATAGAAGCTTAAAACACTCAGTTTCTTAAAAAAAAAAAAAATCTCCTCAACAGGTTCATCTGATTCCCTGCAGTGCCCTTCCGTTCTCAGCCCGTGGAAGTGCTGTTAAAACACAGCTGTAATGGATACCACAGACTGAATTAGAGGTGGAGCTGCTCTCCAATTACTTGCCTATTTGTGCAATACAAACCATATTTTAGTCTTTTCTTAACGAATGATGCTACCCACCATGTCTGGAGTGTTCTGTCTCCCAGGGGCATCCTATTCAAAATCCATCTGTGGTGAATAGGACTGCAGTCTGAGCCTGTCTCTTCCAAGCTGTCTTGGCTATTCAGCCACACCTCATTCATGGCCGTGGGGCATCTAGTGCTCAAAAACCAGAACTGCTCAGGTGAACTAAGGAAGAAGGAAAGGCTAGCCAGAGTGGTGTTGTCTTTTGTACAGGCATTTGGTACAATTAAAGATGCAGGAATCCATGATACTTGACACTGAAACGTTTCCCTTTTCAAATGTAGGATTTCTTTTTACTCAGCAACAAAGAAACTGGAGAAACTGCAGTAGATACCAGTCCTGGGGAGTGATCAGGGAACTGGGTCAGGTTCAGAAAATTTTGTCTCATTAGAAGTACAGAGATCTTAGATTCAGCTTTCCTGCCTTCCTACTGATCCCAGACTTAACCTCTATGGCAGCCTCAATCTGCTTCACAGGAGACACTTCAATTGCAGTAGCTGGCCATGGCATGATTTTGCCATTTTGTGAAGCTCAGTTCCCCAAAGAGTAGATCTTTTCTTCCAGACTTTCGCTGACTTTCTACTCTGCTCTCATGGGACCTCACCTGGAGTATTGCATGCAGTTCTGGTGTCCCCCACATAAAAAGGACATGGAACTGTTGGAATAAGTCCAGAGGAGGGCCATGAGGATGATCAGGGGACTGGAGCACCTCCTGTATGAAGACAGGCTGAGAAAGCTGGGGCTGTTCAGCCTGGAGAAGAGAAGGTTGCATGGAAACCTCATAGCAGCCTTCCAGTATCTGAAGGGGGCCTATAAGGATGCTGGAGAGGGACTCTTCATCAGGGACTGTAGTGACAGGACAAGGGGTAACGGGTTAAAACTTAGGGGAAGTTTAGATTGGATATAAGGAGGAAATTCTTTACTGTAAGGGTGGTGAGGCACTGGAATGGGTTGCCCCGGGAAGTTGTGAATGCTCCATCCCTGGCAGTGTTCCAAGGCCAGGTTGGACAGAGCCTTGGGTGACATGGTCTAGAGTGAGGCATCACTGACCATGTCATGGGGATTGAAACTAGATGATCATAAGGTCCTTTCCAACCCTAACTATTCTATGATTCTGTGATGAACAACTGGGAAAGGGAGCCAGCTATTAAGAGGAAGACGGGGGGGGGGGGGGGGGAGAGATTTTGGGCCTTCTGATGGAACTCTGTATCTGGGTAAGTCTTGAGAGCACATAAGGAAGGGGAAAAGACAAATAGTGATACAGTTGGCGTTAGTACTGCCAGGGTTATCCCAGATGGAAGCAGAGGTGAAGGGGTAGCTGTGTAGATAACAGAATCATCAGAGAATCACAGAACAGTTTAGGTTGGAAGGGACCTTAAAGATCACCCAGTTCCAACCCCCTGCCACGGGCAGGGACACCTTCCACTAGACCAGGTTGCTCCAAGCCCCATCCAGCCTGGCCTTGAACACTGCCAAGGGATGGGGCAGCCACAGCTTCTCTGGGCAACCTGTGCCAGGGCCTCACCACCCTCACAGGGAAGAACTTCTTCCTCAGATCCCATCTAAACCCTCTCTATGTCATCTTAATGCTGAGGCAGATCGAGTGGAGGCAGGGCAGCAGCTCGAGCCGTCGGCTCTGGGTGGGCTGCCCGCACACGCCTCAAGTGTCCCAGCAGGTTGAGGGAAGCCACCTACCCGCCGTGCCCTGCCGGCTTCCGGCCTCGTTCTCCCCGCTCAGCGCCGCCGCTCCGGTGCGATGGGCCGAGCAAGGTCCCCTTACCGCGCCTGCTACCGTCACTGCCGCCTCTTCCACTGCCCTACACCGGCAGGCGACGGCGCGCCCGAGGGAAGCGGGGCGGCCCCGCTGCTCCCTCCGCTTCCCTCTCTCGCTCCGTCCCTCCCTGCTGCCCGCGCCCGTCCTTCTCCGCGCTGCGCTCCAGCCCGCCCGCCCCGGAGCTGGACGCAAGACTGCGGAGCGGGTCTCACCAAGCGGAGTAGAGGGTGAGATCGCTCGGGCTGACGTACAGTGACATCGCTGTAGTGTTATGGCCAACCTACCGCAGCTTAGCAAGGTTTCACGTATATCTGTGGCAACTGTGTGTGTGCTCGTGGGGATTCAGTAGGAGGTGTGTAAGTTTGCATTTCTACCCGTGCTGACCAGACGAGGTGTCCAAACTCTTAAGTGGGTTGAAAGATGCAACACTGGGCCACAGCTGGTTCTTTTAGCTTTTGAAGATGACATGTACAGTCAGGGGGAGGAAAACATGCTAATGAAAGTAATTCTTAGCAGCTTCAGGAAATTGGAAATGTTGATTTGTGCTTGACAATAAATGTTAAGATAACAGGATGATTGGATCAGGGACAAAAGGAAAAGATGTAAGGAGGCAAAATGTAGCAGAGATGAAAATGGGACAAGGTGATTCTTATGCAGTACTGAGTAGAAGAAAAAAACAAAACAAAACCCAGTTCCATCAAAGGTGAACTTGTGCCCTTGGCCACCAGCATGGTCCAGGAGTGGAAGATGGCCAGATGGAGGAAGGGGTTACATTCGGTGTAAAGACTAGCAGCATTGCTTTGCCTGTGTAAAGCAGTCACACTAAACAGAAGACTCCAGAAAACTGGAAGCAGTGAAAAAGACTTCTGCAAAAGATATCAGGCTTCAGAGGAGTCATCTTTATATGAAGGAAGTTGTTGAGAAAAATGAAAAGACAAATGAAGGAAACAGAAATATGAAGGCAAGCAGCAGCAACTGAATCAGCAAATGAAGCAAACAGCAACAGTCAGGTAATAATTCAACAAGGAAAGACCGTTGAAGGCAAGCAGTAGAGAATATATCAAAGAAAATAATTCAAACATACCTGAGGTTAGCCTCATTACGATGCTGCCATCAAGTAGTTGTCTGGGAAATGCTTATAGGAGTATGAAAATATTGGGGCTTCAGGAGGAAACAGAATTGAGCAGAAAGGAA